TTTCTTATATTCACCAAGTTTACTACGATACTCATCCCAGTACACTGCGGTCTCTTTACGCCGGGCCCGGTTAAATAGTTTGAGAAGAGTCTTCCCAAGGTTCCGGATCTTCCCAGGGTTTCTCCTGGGCAGATCTCCGCTCTAGGAGATGGCAGCTGTCCTCGAACGTTTCAACTAGGCCACTTGTGAACGTTTCTACTTTGGCGTCTATATCCTCTTTTTTCGAGTGTCCTAGAGTGAAAAGTGTCCTGACCTAAACGGTTCTTTAGTAAGGTCCCGAACATTGTCCAATTAGTTTTAGACTAATTCCGAAATTTTGTCGGCTTTGGCGGTGGTCTTAGTATTTTGAATCTTATGTACCGATGGTCAGAGTGCTCGTCCGAAACTCTCCAATCCTGAATTTCGTTTATATGCTCTTCTGAACATAGTTTTATCTAATACTTTTTCTCTGATTCTATTGACAAAGGTAGCTTGATTACCTAAGTTCAAAGTGATCAAGTCTTTAGTATTAAGGAAATCCATAAGGGCTTGTCACCTGTATTTTTCCCTTGTGTCTCTTCAATCAGTTTCATCAGATCCAACGTTGGTGGTAGTGTCGGAGAATCAAAGGGCGGGTAAACTGATGCAAGGTATATATTGCCACGACCTTGCTTCAGTACCGTTGCATCCGATGTGGATACTCCTGTTGAGAGGAGAAAACATAAGTTCTTGTGACATAAGATACATGTTCTCGGTCAAGACCCTGTATCAGCGTAGAAAAATAGGAAATTTACGTGATTTAATCCAGAAACCTTGTTGCGAATTGTCCAAGGTTCCTGAATTAAAGCTTTATGTATTTTACCTGTGTTAATTTCAGCCATCAGAGCGTTGGTAACCGTCTCGCTCCGATGGAGGTTTATTTGAATAACTTCAATCACTGTCATCAATTAAACTGTCTTCCAGCAAGTTGGTTTTTACCTCCTCGCTCTTTAGATTTGACTCCTCCGGGTAGCCTGAAGTGTCTATTGATGCAGTGGGTACCATTGATGGCACTACGGTGTCCTTATCAGGCATAGCAAGAGCAGTCTTTTTAATCGACACCTTTACAATTTTGAAAAGCACTTCTACTCTGTCTTCTGGCGAGTAAGTGGTTCCCTCCTCGCTTTTAGGATTTGGCTCTTCAACATTACCAGTACTTGCTAATGGTGCTTTGGGTACAGTGTATGTTCCCCTATATCTGGAAGGAACTGTAGGCTACTTTTTTTTTGAAATTGCAAGTGGGAGGGGTGCCACGCTCACTTCTTCAAAAGTCGAATATCTCGGAAAAATTTTTTATGGACAATTTTGACACCCATATCATTATTTGGTGCAAAAATTGGATTACTAACAATAGGGGGCGTACCATACCCATCTATATATATAAAAATCAATGTATGTTTGTTTATTTGTTTGTTTGTACCTTATAGGAGGTTAAACCACTGAAGCGATCTTCTTGAAATTTTCAGTGTATGTTCCCCTATATCTGGAAGGAACTATAGGCTACTTTTTATTTTGAAATTGCAAGTGGGAGGGGTGCCACGCCTACTGCTTTAAAAGTCGAATATCTCGGAACATGGTACAACTAGAGTCCGCAATTTTTTTATGGACAATTTTGACATTCATATGATTATTTGATGGAAAAATTGGAGGACTAACAATAGGGGGCGTAGCACCCCCATCTATATATATAAAAAAATTAATGTGTGTTTGTTTGTTTGGACTTTATAGACAGCTAAACGGCTGAACCGATTTTTCTGAAATTTTCACAGTCTCTTCCTGTATGTCTCAAAGGAACTATATGCTACTTTTTACTTCAAGAGTTTAAGTGGGCGACGTGCCACGCCCACATACAAAATAAGTTTTAAAAGTCGCATATCTCAGAAACTGCAAGAGCTACAGTCCTCAAGTTTTGTATGCAAAACTTTGACATCCATATGAGAATAAAATGGGCAGCCTAGATATAGTGGGCGTGGCACCTCCCATATAAAGAAAATCTTAAATTAGTATATCTGAGAAAATATAACAACTAGAATCCTCATTTTTTTCGGAGAACTTTAGTATCAAATTGAATGTTTAGGACAAAAAATGGGCGGACTAGCAAAAGGGGGCTTGGTACCTCCCATATGAGTTATATATTAAAATTCGTTGATCTGGGAAACTATTGGATATAGAATATTAACCTTAATTTTTCACAAAGACCTTTAACATCCACGTGAATATTTATGAAAAAATGGGTGGACTTTCATAAGGAGGTTTTGGTACCTCCTATACGGATCTATATGTGATTTTACTGTACGTCTGGAAGGAACTATATGCTACTTTTTACTTCAAAATTTTAAGTGGGTGACGTGCCACGCCCATTTACAAAATAAGTATTAAGAGTCGCTTAACTTAGAAACTCAAATTTTGTATGGACAACTTCAACATCCATATGAATACATGGCAATGAAATTAGCAGCCTAGCTACAGTGGGCGTGGCACCTCCCATATAAAGAAAATCTTAAATTAGTATATCAGAGAAAATATAACAGCTAGAGTCCTCATTTTTTTCGGAGGATCTTTAGTATCAAATTGAATGTTTAGGACAAAAATGGGCGGACTAGCAACTTTTAGGCAGTCTTGGTACCTCCCATATGAATTAAGTACAAAAATTCGTGTATCTGGCAAGCTATTAGAGATAGAATCCTCAATTTTGCACGAAGAACTCTGACATTCAATAGGGGCTTGGCACCTTCCATATAAACTAAACGCAAAAATTAGTATATCTGGCAAACTGTAAGAGCTAGAATTTTCAAAAATCGCAAAGGAAGTTTTTTATATATATTCCGGGTCCTTATCAAATTCTGAGTCGATTTAGCTATGTCCGCTCACGTATAAACGATGCTAAATAAATTAATGAAATTCGGCCAAAAGATTCACTATTGTCCTGGGCAGTTTGGTACTGAAAATGAGCAAAAATCGGAAAGAGTTATGAATCAAAATTTAAAAAACTCCGAAAAAAGTATTTTATTATAATTCTTTATTTTGAATTTTATGAGGATTGGTCTACAACTGACCATAGCCAACAAAACAATATCTATGTACATAATATTATGGGTATCGATACATAATTGTCCCTGCCCCATATAAATTCCCCTTCAGATAATAACTTTTACGCTTATGACTGAATTAAAAATACAACAGTAATGAAATTCGAAACGAATAAGTGTTATGCGAAATCTTTCTACCAATTTTTACGACAAACAGTCCATAATTGACGCTACCTCTCATATATGTTCATAGTTAAAAAATTGGATAAAAATATTTTGTTTTTAAAAATTAATATTTTGTTTTGGGATTGACTAACTATGATTTCCTGAAGCATCTTTTTCATCTTCCTCATCTGTGCTCCAGATTGTCTTTTCTTAGTAATTGGTAGTTTAGGTATGTTATCACTCACCTCTTTCACCATTTGCTTTACTTCATCCTTTTTGGGACTTTGGTATAATGGTGTTTCTCCAGGTTACATAAAAATCATATTTGTATGTCATTATAAAGCCGTCTGCCAAAGAATATATAGAAGTTAGACTGCGAAAACGAAGTGAAATAAATTATTGAAATTTGGCTATTGTCCTAGGGCCTAGGCAGTTTGATAAAATCGGTTCACATCGGGAAAAGTTATGAATCAAAATTTAAAACAACTCCGAAAAAAATAAGCATTTTTTACACATTCTGATGTAATTTTCACGAAAACTATGCAATATGATTCAATGAAAATCATCATACATTTGTTTTTTTATTCCTGTTTAAAATTGGCGAAATCGGTCCACATTTTCTTATACCTCCCATACAAAAGTACATATTCCCGGAAAATGAGTTTATTGTTAATAACTTCCTTCAGAATGTTGATATATTTACAAAATTTTACAAATTAAAATTATATGTCAATAGAATTCACTTAGAGAAAAAATTTCTGGATCGGTCCATAATTGGATATAGCTCCCATACAAGGTCCCCTCCCGAAAATCACTTTAAGGCACATAACTCATTACTAAATTAAGATATTCATATAAAATTTGGTACAAGTATTGCTCTTATGTACAGAAATGTTACTGTAAAATTTTTTTCGATCGGTCCTTAATTGGTCATGGCTCTCATACAAGGCCCCTTCATAAAAACACTTAAAAGCACACAACTCATTACCAAATAGTGATAAATTTTGTCATAAATACTATTTTTGTATACAGTAATGTTATTTCAAAATTTTTTCAGGGTCGGTTCATATTTGGTCAAAGCTCCCACAAAAGTTTTCCTTCCGAAAATCACTTAAACGGACATAACTCATTACTTTACATTGATATCGATACATTTAGCACAAATATTGCTCCCATACAAGCAAAATCTCTTAAAATCACATTACTCATTACCAAATAAAGCTATTGATACACAATTTTGCATAACTATTAGTTTTGTATACAAAAATTATATTTTAAGATTTTTTCACTATCGGTTCATAATCACCTTCCCATACAAGGTTCCCTTTCGAAAATCACTTAAACACTCATTACTTATTACTAAATTACGCTATATAGATACAAAATTTGACTGAAATATAGCTTTTATATACTGAAATGTTACTTAAAGATTTTTTTACGATCGGTCAATTGTAACAGATTTAAGCTGTTTAAATCGTGGGTTTTTTCTATTTAAGACATGAGAAACCTTATTTCTAAAAATATTAAAAAAGTATTAATATAAAAGTAACTGGTGGAGGGTATTTAAGATTCAGCTCAGCCGAGTGTAGGACTCTAACTTTTTATTTTATTTTACACAATTTTATCGCATTTAACAACCCGAATTATTTTATTTTTCACAAATTAAAAAAATATTTTTTACTTTATTTGAAAATCGTTTTTTGGGTATTGAAATTAAAAAAACAAAATTATTTAATACTTACTTACTTACATGATGTAATTATTCAGTTCTTTTTTTATTTCATTTAGTATTCTAAAAACGAAAATTTAGTGTGGCTTATGCTGTATGAACTACATGAAAGGGCATTCCAACAGCGAAGTGCTGAAGAGGCTAAACAACAACATGTTTTATATGAGAAATCGAACATAAAAGGTATGTATATATACACATATATGTTAAAATGTGGATTCCAAATGCCGACAAAATATGAAAAAAGTCGGAACCTTGAGACCAAGTTAGACGTTTCCAAAGGATTGAGCAGCGTTGAATCCGAATCTGACCTCAGATTCGAAATTTGAGAAAACGTAATTTTTGGCATGAATACTAGAGGTGTTCAAAAATATTAAGGGGATTCATGAAACACGAGTGCAAACTTGCACATTTGCACAAATGGCTATCAGTATTATTCAGAAAACAAAATTTAGTTTAAAATTATAAGTTCAAATAGGCGATCAAATGTATCAATGTTTTGGAAGTAAAATCCCATACAATTTGTAACAAATTCAACGTGATTCCGAAAATGCACACATTGCACAGTTAGCGAGGCTTTTGAACGTTTATATGAAAACCCTTATTGATTTTATTTTGTTCATTAGTGTTTAAAACTGTTGTTAAATCCCAAACGGATAACAAAAACCCGTACCGGAAATCGATTGAAAAGTTTGAAATTGCGTAAATAATTGGACTTTTTTAATTCCTTCGAAAATTTGGCCACTAAAATTATATCTTTTTAACATTTCTATTAAATCCTATCATCTAGAGAAAATTATATTTTCAACAAGGTATAAAATATATACCTTTTTGGATAGATATAGGAAGGTATTATACGATTGTGCTAATGTTTGTAACTCCCAAAGCGATTGGTCCTACACTCACCTTAAAGTATACCAATTGTCGAGTAATTTCCGAAGGGGACTTTGTATGGGGGCTAGGCTCAAATTATGCCCTATTATTACATCAGCTGTATCATTTAGACTTATGGTCTATGATTATTATGAGGGAGTTATACAATTTTTGCCGATTTTTGTAGAGATACAAGAACAGATTACAAAAATTATTACATTTTTTTTATAGCACATCAACGATATTTTGTGTGGACATTGTCTAACATCTTAGAAGTTAGGTTTAAAGTTAACAGTTTAAAAAAATTCCCAAAATTACGTTTTTACCTGAAACTCAAAAATTAAGCGTGGATATAACCCACAACGAAGGACCCAAAATACAAATTAATTTAACACAAATATTTTAAATATTCGTGGATAAATTCGCTTTTTAAGAGTTTTTTCAACCACTTAAAAAAATATTTTTTTATAAAACTAAGTACACATATGTTATAGACTATTTAACATGACGAATTAATACGTTAATTTACAATCAATAACTAAAAAAATTATGCATTTATGTGTGGTAGATTAAAAATTATGAGGTTTTAATTTATTTATGCATATATTAGAATGCATTTTTTTTTAATTCCAAAATGGTTGTATTTTTTCAAACGGCTTAAAGATAGCAACCTAAAATAATATAATTTTATTAATTTTAATTAGCGGGAAGGGTGTGCTTCACAAGTTAAAAGTAAAACACTGCGTTTCCTGCACACGAGAAACTTTGATGCAAATATTTTTGTGGTTAGCCAATAACTGCTTGTTTATAATTATCTTATGCTTCCATTTCTGAATTTAAATGAATAAATAATATAAAAACCGTTAAAATGAAAATCTATTAAAGTTTGGAAATAAATTTCATACACATGACCGAACTTTTTTCAATGCATTTAATACAAAATCGTACTTTTTTCTAACGGCTTATCGATTTTGGTATAAGCATAATTGCCAGCTACCGATTAATGTTAGGTGTTACCAATTTTAATTAGCGGTTTAGGTGTGCTTCGTCGAATTATCTTGTAACTAAAGAAACACCGCGTTTTCGGCTAAAGAGAAATTTTGATGAAATTTCTATTGTATTTAGCATATCCCTTCTTATCTACAATTAACTGCTTTTTTATTTCTAAATTTAAATGAGTTATTAATCCAAAAAACCGTTAAAATGAAAACCAGTCCGGCTAATTTAAATTTTGTAAAGAAATTATATATTTACTAGGGTTGTCATTCGAATAAAAATTATTCGATTAATCGAGGAAAAAAATGTGTTTTTCTTCGAACGAATAAAAAATTTCCAATTTAGAATAAAGAATAATTCGAACAATTTTTGTCGATTAATCGAATATTCGAATAATATTTGAATGTTACATTTTACGAATATTTTATTATACATAGCATTGAAATTATGTTAATATTTTGTAAAACAAATCTAAATATAAAGATATGTTATAATTGAAACAAAACTTTTACTACATTTTGCAGTTTATAAAAATTTTTGTTTTGCAATGTTAAAAATAAAATGGTTCTAGTTTTAAAAGTGATATTCTTCAATTTTTTTAATGTTTGCAATAAGTGAAACAGATAAACATTAATTAATATGGTTCTTTCAGTATCTGTCTTTTTACAAGAAAGACAACAATTTCTAAATATACTGAACCCTGTTTCCTGGGCGATATGTAGGAGAACTATAGGCATAAAATGGGGTCTTAGTCCTACTATAAAACATTTGTTTTATTAAAGTGTAATTAGACTAATTCTAGCTTATGGTTCAATAATCGGGTTGACTTCTTTGGACAAAAAGTGTAATATATAACTACAATAGGGAGTTCATAACTTTAGGTGAAATGTTCAAAATCAGTTATAGGACACGTCATCAATGTATACTGGACACATTGGAAAGCTATAAACAATCATCGCCTGATCGCATGCTAGACACAGAATATGTCAGAAACTTTGAAACACTGAGCCCAGATAGAATGTCTTGATCAAGCGGAACATTTCTCTCGAACACTGATTTGGAAATTTTAGGAATTACGGCCAGGAAACTGAGTTTCAGAACATTGAAAGATAATACATTCAGTCGACACTATGTTGTTCTTTTACAAAAAAAACCTTTTTCATCCATGAAAAGCAACGCACAACGGGCCCGATAGTGGCCTGTTTCTAATACATTAATAAATAGTACGATTTTCTTATATAAAACAGTTTGTAAAAATGTCTGCAAAACAGGTAGCTAAACATCGTATATATCATTATAAAGGCCTCAGCTTCCACTTTTAAATCCGTTGAATAGGTTGAGATTCAGCTAAGTTACTGATTTATAAGTGTATGTACGAAAACCGTTTTATTTTAAGATTTTGAAGGTGTTTTGCAAATTTTATTTATATTTTATTAAATTATTCGAATAAAAACTTTTATTCGTTATTCGTTCGAATAATCGAATAATTTTTAAAATTTAATCGACTACTCGAATATAAAAAATATAGTACATTTTTATTCGAATCATTTTAAACACGAATAATTGACAACCCTAATATTTACATGAATGAACTTTTTTATACTTTTTTAATGCAAAAACGTGCATTTTTTCAAACGGCTTATTGATTTTCATATAAGCATCATTGTCAGCTACCAGTTGATTTATAATGCCCCAATCTAAATTAGCGGCTTAGGTGTGCTTCACCGATTTATGTTGTGAAAGAAACCCCGCGTATTCAGTCCACGAAAGGTCTTGATTAAATTTGTTTGATGCAAACCAATTCTTTCAATATAAAGATTAATTACTGATAAAATTCAGAATTTAAAATTTGTTTATAATGCGGAAATTCGCTAAAGTAAAAAATTAAAAATTTGCAATATTTTATGATTTCAACATGTAAAATTTAAAAGTATTTCGATCACGCGATATTTTGGGTATATTGAAGTTAGCTTCTCCTGCAGTAATACCTTCTAGAGCACATTGGAGATATACATTAAACGACGCGTAATTAAAATGTCTACTTTTTCTCGTTTATACATTTTGCATAACCGAAGAGCCGCAAATATTCTATCCAAAAAACTGCAAATTTTGTAAATTTGTATAAATTTGGTTTCAAAACATTGCGACCACGTAATTCTTTACTTATAAATGGCACAACAATTAAATATTGACTATAGACATTCAACAAGTCTATACAGCTTACATTAGTAAAATTGACTTTCTAAGTTGTAAGCCGCCCTCATAATATCAAAAAGTTGTAAAAAAACTACTTGGTTTCAATCACATTTTTGAGAAATTTTAAATTTGAGTGTTTATTTCTCCAACATGGAACTACTCTCGACCACTAAATTTTATGGACGTATTCATTCAAGTCTTGTGAATAAAAATTCGTCATCACTTAATTTTCAATATATTAAACAAAAGAAATATTTAAGTAAGCAAAATCTTTGCTTACAATGATTACCATTAAGTACTTTATTAATGACTTACTTTGTATGTAAAGTCTAAAAAAATCAAAATAAAGAAACAAACAAACATAAAACAGTTACTTTTTTTCCTTTTTTTGTGCACACGATATCAAATGTCTATTTTTAGACAAACAGAAAATAAGTTAAGTGTTACCAATTTTAATTAGCGGTTTACTTGTGCTTCGTCGAATTATTTTGTAACTCAAGAAACACCGCGTTTTCGGCTAAAGAGAAATTTTGATGAAATTTCTATTGTAGTAAGCATATCCCTTCTTATCTACAATTAACTACTTTTTTCATTTCTAAATTTAAATGAATTATTAATCCAAAAAATCGTTAAAATGAAAACCAGTCCGGTTAATTTAAATGTTGTAAAGAAATTATATATTTACATGTACATTTTTTCAAACGGCTTATTGATTTTCATATAAGCATCATTGTCAGCTACCGGTTGATGTATAATGTCCCCAATTTAAATTAGCGGCTTAGGTGTGCTCCATCGGTATAAAGATTGATTACTGATAAAATTCAGAATTTAAATTTGTTTATAATGCGGAAATTTGCTAATGTAAAAAATTAAAAATTTGCAATTTTTTTGTATTCACTCTAAAATCTTTGCATGCTAATATTTTATCGCGGCTTTATGATTTCAACATGTAAAATTTAAAAGTATTTCGATCACGCGATGTTTTAGGTATATTGAAGTTACGCTGTTAGTGTGCTTCGCGAAACTATAAAACTTTCATGTTTATTTTTCCAATATTTAAGCTTCTCCCACAGCTATAATTTCTAGAGCACATTTTGGAGATATATGTACATCAAACG